TTGTTTTTCTGGGCCTCAGTCTTCTAATCAGTAAAATGGGGGTAAAAGTTCTTAGATAAAAGTTTAAACTTGCGATTCCAAATTAAGGAGCAGAACCTGAGCCCTGTACAATTTTTAGTTGGCTCATTCTTAGGGTACAGGAAGAACTGGTGTTTGGGGACACACACTGCTTTGCATCAGCTGCTCACTGGGGGGCGGAACAGCCTACTGGTTTTAAGCACATACGCTGAAGCCAGAGACCTGGGTTTAAATGCTGTTGCTAAACAAAAATAATAGTATCTACTTGTTGCATACCTTATGAGAATTAAAGGAGATCATACATATAAAGCATGCTTAGAACGAAGAGAACAAAAGGGCATAGTGTATCAGAAGTTCTTAGTATTACTCTCAGGATTATTTGCACCTCGCTGATGAGTGCAACATCGGCTGTCGTGTGCACTGGCCGTGGAGGAAGAGTGGGTGATAAATGTGCAAGGATTCTAGCACAACGGGACTCTACGACTCCGATTCTGCCCAGGATTTGGCTAGACTGGTGTTTCCCAGTCTAGGTCCTTTTTATGTTCCTCAGGCCCCTTTTGAATGGGTCGCTTTCCTCCCTAGACTTCTAATGCCTGAGCTCTGCGTCCCTGGAGCCCTGAGCTGCTCCCACCTGGGTCTCTTGCCTCCATCTGGGCTCCTCTTCTTGGTGCTCTCCGCTCACACCAAATACCTCCCCCTCTGGTTTTTTACTCCTGCAGTTCCCCTGCCTGTAATTCCCCTCTTTCCTCTGCTCGTCTGTGTCATGCTTATTTTTCAAACTCAGACAAAACCCCACCACCTTCAGAAAGCTGTCACCTCTGGAGTTCCTACGGCAGTTCTACAGAAATCTCTTGTCTTTTTATTGTATTGTAACTGCCTACATCCTGTCTCCCTGTGGCTGTAAACTCCCTGGAGTCAGGTCTGGGTGGAGAAGCTCTGCGCTAATGGCTCTAAGACCCCATTTGAGCCCAGCTGTGTGATCCTGGGCAAGTCGCTTCACCTCTCAGTTTCACTGTGAAAAATGGGGCTGGTCATCTTTCCGTGGTTTGTAGACTGGACAGGGCCAGACAGTTGTCAGAGATCAGGTCAGTGGTGTCTCTGTGCTCCTGTGGTGGAGCCTGGTGCAGTGCTCTGAATCCAGCAGGTGCCCACTGCACATCTGCGCTGGCCATGGGGCAGGGCAGCTGGACAGAATGCCTCTGGCGCCAGGCACGCAGGCCAGGCAGGCTGGCTCAGATCATGGCAGGACGAGCCCTGCCTGGCCATGCTGGCAGCAGCCCAGGGATGCGGCTCTGGGAGCTGGTGAGGAGGAAGGGCCAGTGCCTCCCCAGCTCTCTCCTTCTGCTGCACGCGGAGTGAGTGGGAGCCCCAGGGTGCCAACAGCACCCCCCAAGGTCATTTGTTGACCGCACGCTGAATCTCCATAGGCACCCAGAAATTCAGTTAGATTCAAGCATTTGGGGCTGCCTGCCATGGCTGGGGCTACAGTAGGGCACAGTGGGGGATCGTGAACATTTCAGAGTTCGTCTCTGCCAGAGGCTTGTACATTCTTGGTGCTTCCAGGGTGCTTGTTGAAACAAAGGAGAGAGGGAGGGATGGGTGCATAAATAAAAGAAACTGGTTTTGCTCACAAGGAGATAGGAATCTGGGTGGAGAGATCAGAGAGAAGGCCATGAACTGTGGTGTGGCACAGGGCAGAGCCTAGTGCACGGGACACATGGACTAGCAGGGGTGGCGCCTGGCCCGTGAGCTCTGTGCGTGCACCTGGCTCACAGAGCACCCGGAACCTTGCAGGCTGGGCAGGCACAGGAGGTGATCAGGCCTATGTGTTGAGTGGAGACATGAGAAGGAGACTGGCCTGCATGAGAGATTGATGGCTGGAGAGCAGGAGGGAGAGAGGAAGGAAAAGCAATAGTGAACTGTGGGTGGCTCTGGGTGGCCTGGTGGGCTGCAGGGTGAGCTTTGAGCTTGGTGCCCATGGATGTGTAGGAATGAAAGAAACAGAGGAAGAGAAAGGGAGTGCTCAGGAGGGGAGGAGAGGCAGGATCACGGTGGAGCTGATTGATGACAGACAGGTCTGCATTTGAATTCCTGCTGCATCACTTAAAAACTTGGCCAAGTCAGTTTACCTCTTTGGACACTATTGTCTTTGTTGTCAAAACAGGGAGGATAACAACAATGGTGGCCATTTAGTGAGTGCTTAGAATGAGTCTCATGCTGTATTAGGTAATTTATTAATTAATGCTCACACATTTTACAGATAAAGAAATTGAGGCACAGAGAAGTAAGTCACTTGCTTAAGGCCTTCATGTCGGTTATCAATTGCTGCATAACAAACGACCTCAAAACTCAGCTTAACACAACTGCCATTTTATTTGCTTATGACTCTGTGAGCTGGCAGCTTGGGCTGGGTTCAATGGGGACCACTCACTGGCTACAGTTTTCTGGCCAATTAAAAAAAAAAATCCTGGAGTGGGAAAACCCCAATGTGCAAGCACCTTCAAACTTCTGCTTGTGCCACTTGCTAACTGCAACTGGCCAAAGCAAGTCACACAGCCAAGCCCAGAGTCATGGGATGGAAAAATAAACTCTGCTCTCGAGGGGATTCACTGCAGAGTCAAAACGTGAAGAGCGATGGCTGCAGCG